AAGATTCACATCGTAAGAAAGATTTTCCCATTTAGTTGGAGGTGGAACAACAATGATATCAACACCAAACTCACAATGATCTCCATCAAAGGTGTATCCATTTTATGATCATTGAATGTATCAAGAGGAAGCACTTGATATAGAAGTATATATGTAAAGGCTAGATTAGTCATTTGTAAATCCCTAATCATCATTATGCTCTCCTGTATATATTGTAATCTCATCAATCAAATGAATCATTCAGCCTTTACTCTCATATGGTATCAGAGCTACGATACCTAATTTTTTTTTTCCAGCCGCCATCTTTTCAAAACCTTTAACACCAAACACACAGCGACACCACGTCTTCTCTGGCAAGCTCTACTGAGACCGTCAATGTCTCTATAACCCCAACCCTTCTCAACGTTAATATGGCGAATGTCACACAGCTCACATCTACCAATTTTCTGATGTGGAGCCGTCAAATCAAGGCGTTACTCAATGGATACGACCTTGCTACTTACCTGGATGCCTCAGTTGCGATTCCACCAGCCACCATAACGACCGATGGTGTTGTCTCTGCCAATCCGACGCACTCTCTGTGGAAACGCCAAGATCAACTGATTTATAGTGCCTTGCTTGGTGCTATTTCCATGACCATCCGACCATTACTTTCTGCTACAACAACGTCGGCTCAGATCTGGACCGAACTTTCTGAGACGTACGCTAAACTGACGCGGGGTCACCGTAAACAGATCATGCATCAGATCAGAAACTTGACCAAGGGTACCAAGTCGATCAGAGAATACTTTCAGGGTTTCACTACCCGTTTTGATCAGCTTGCACTACTTGACAAACCGATGGACCACGAAGATCAAATTGATTACATACTCGCTGGGCTTCCGGAGGAATACAAGCCCGTTGTTGACCAAATTGAGGGCCGTGACACATCACCCTCTCTCACCGAAGTCCACGAAAAGTTGCTTAATTATGAACTGAAGTTGCAAGCAGCTGTTGTGCCATCTTCGTCAGCTCCAAACTCTGCTGATGTTGCGAATTACAAGGGATCCAACAACAACAATGGCAACCAAAGTCAATCCTGCAACACCAACAATCGACAAAACCAAACTTCGCAACAGCAACAATTCCAAAACCGATCGGATCAGCCCTCACCGCGAGGTTATCAAGGTCGTTGTCAGCTGTGTGGTGTTCATGGGCATACTGCAAGAAGATGCTCGCAGTTTCAGGTCTCTGGAGGCTCGTTCAATGCATCACCGCGGCCATACTCAAATCAGCCAGCTCCATGGCAACCGAGGGCTAATATGGTGACTGCGACGTCTTATAATCCGAACAATTGGGTCCTCGACAGCGGTGCTACACACCATCTCACCACTGATCTCAATAACCTCTCTCTCCATCAGCCGTACAACGGAGGAGAAGAGGTCACCATCGCTGACGGCTCATCCATGCCAATATCCCACACGGGTTCCACCTCCTTACCCACTCCTTCTCGATCTCTTGCCTTAACTGATATACTTTATGTCCCAATGTCCATAAGAACCTGATATCCGTTTACCGTTTATGTAACACTAATTAAGTGTCTATGGAATTCTTTCCTGCTCATTTTCAGGTGAAGGATCTCAGCACGGGGGTCCGATTGCTCCAAGGGAAAACTAGAGACGAGCTATACGAGTGGCCAGTTCCATCCAATAAACCCATCTCCTTCTTTGCTACACCATCCCCAAAAGCGACTTTACCATCCTGGTATTCCCGACTTGGCCACCCGTCTTCTCAAATACTCCAAAGCATTATTTCCCAGTTTTCTTTACCGATTTCTCATTCTTCAGAAAAACATTTTTCTTGTACCCCATGTCATATCAATAAAAGCCATAAGCTTCCCTTTTATTTAACACACGATCACCTCTACAAACCCTCTTGAGTATGTTTATAGTGATGTTTGGACCTCACCGATACTTTCTGTTGATGGGTTCAAATACTACCTCATTCTGGTGGATCATTATACACATGGTTGTATCCATTGCGAAGGAAATCTGATGTTCGCGCTACGTTCATTGCATTTAAAGCGTTGGTGGAGAACATATTTCAATGCAAAATAAGGACGTTGTATTCGGATAATGGTGGGGAGTTCGTGGCATTACGACAATTTCTTTCTCTAAATGGCGTCTCACATCTAACGTCACCACCACACACACCGGAAGATAATGGCATCAGCGAACGAAAGCACCAGCATGTTGTTGAAACAGGTCTGACGCTCTTGAAACAATCCTCGCTTCCAACACAGTATTGGACTTATGCCTTCGCCACGGCGGTGTACCTGATCAATCGCTTACCGACTCTGGTGATTGGAAATCTCAGTCCCTATGCCATGCTATTTAAACAGACACCAAACTACTTAAAACTACGCGTGTTTGGGTGTCTCTGTTTTCCTTGGCTCCGACCATACGGTTCGCACAAGCTGGAGCCTCGATCCTTACCGTGTGTGTTCCTTGGGTATTCACTCACACAGAGTGCTTACCTGTGTTTGGAAGCAAGCTCTGGTTGCGTGTACACATCTCGCCATGTGATATTTGTTAAATTGAAATTGGGCCATCAAACAGCTCGATGTTAATAACGCTTTTCTGCACCAAACGTTATCTGAGGAGGTTTACGTTTCACAGCCTCCTGGGTTCGTAGACAGAGATCGGCCACACCATGTTTGTCACCTTCGAAAAGCACTATACAGACTCAAACAGGCCCTTCGGGCATGGTATGACGAGTTAAAGAATTATCTTTGTGGATTGGGGTTTGTTAACTCGTTAGCGGACACGTCGGTGTTTGTGTTCATTCACGGTGATCAGATTGTTTTCATTTTGGTCTACGTCGACGATATAATTATCACTGGCAGCAGTTCCACTCTTATCATCAGATTTATTGATGCTCTTGCTAATCGGTTTTCCTTGAAAGATCCAACAGATTTGACATATTTTTTGGGCATTGAAGCAACAAGGACAACAAAAGGACTCCATCTGATGCAACGACGCTATACGATTGATCTCTTAATTAACAAAGATGAAGATGCTGGATTCCAAACCCGTGTTGACTCCCATGGCACCTGCACCGAAGTAATCGTCGTTCAGTGGTACCGCATTACCAGATCCGAAGGAATACAGAACCGTTATTGGTAGCCTCCAATATTTGGCAATCACAAGGCCTAATAGCTTACGCCGTCAAAAAACTCTCCCAAATTATGCTTGGCAATCACAAGGCCTAATAGCTTACGCCGTCAAAAAACTCTCCCAAATTATGCATCGACCGACAGATCTGCATTGGCAAGCCGCCAAGAGAGTCCTCAGATATCTCGCCGGCACTGTGTCACATGGATTATATCTGAAAGCTACTGCTCCGCTCTCTCTTCATGCGTTTTTAGATGCTGATTGGGCTGGGGATACTGATGATTTTGTCTCGACGAATGCATATATTTTGTACCTTGGCTCAACTCCAATTGCATGGTCCTCTAAGAAACAAAAAGAAGTAGCCAGAAGTTCTACCGAAGCTGAATATAGGGCAGTCGCCAATACTGCGTCCGAAATACGCTGGGTCTGCTCTCTCTTGACCGAACTTGGTGTCACTTTACCGTCCTCACCAGTCGTCTATTGTGATAACGTGGGCGCGATGTATCTCTCCGCAAACCCAGTTTTTCATTCACGAATGAAACACTTGGCATTAGACTACCATTTTATTCGCGATAACGTTCGCTCAGGTGCTCTTCGTGTTGCACATGTCTCGACTAAAGATCAACTTACCGATGCTCTGACTAAACCATTGCCGAGACCTCGCTTCCTTGAGCTGTTCGACAAGATTGGAGTTACTAAAGTACCTCTATGTTGGGGGGGGCGTATAGAAGTATATATGTAAAGGCTAGATTAGTCATTTGTAAATCTCTAATCATCATTATGCTCTCCTGTATATATTGTAATCTCATCAATCAAATGAATCATTCAGCCTTTACTCTCATACTTGAGGCAATTCCCACGTCGTTCTTAACTTCTTAATGTATTGAACGGCTTTGATTCCACATCTGGATATATACATGCATGTATATAATACATTCACAGATAAAGATAACAAATCAAAGATACAAGTATAGTAAAATATGTTCATACATACCTTGAATGGTAAAGTACTTCTTTTCTTTTTTGTTAGAGACAAAAAACCGGATATCTGCATTCACCTCCTCTGGTTGTGTGGACATGACTCATGAGGCTGCTATCTATTTTAACATACATTGAAATATATCCACTCCCAGTGTCATTATCGTTCCCTTTTGGGTATATGATCATTTTCCTGAAAGTTTTTTAAACAGTATTGAATACGTCATATAAAATACTGTACGATGATTATTTTTATAATATGAATGATATATGAGGAAAATGAAAATCAACAGGACTTGTCACACTAAGCAAATAGGTTATACGTACCATTTGTATCCATCGGAGGAGAAACGACTGGATTGGTATTTGCCATCAGAGTGGAGAGTTGAGCTTTGGAGTTGAGAGAGGATCTTGACTTTAATGGAATAAGAAGGTGGACGTTCTCTCCAACTCTGAACAGTTGTAGAAGATATGTTCGAACTCATTGATGTACAAAAATGCCTTCTAAATTTGTAACACAAGATATTCGAAAGGTATAATATATAGAGAGAGAGGTCCAAGAGGAATCGTTAACTAAGATACTAGTTACTTTTCGTTATTAAATATGTTTTTAGAAAAATAGATGTCTTGAAAATAACATTTCCGGGAAGGCGAAACATCTCTCTTAAAATTTACTGAGAATCTTATCTTATCTATACTATAAAACGTGCTTAATTCTCTCCAATTTTGTGATACGTCAGCATTTGTGAAAATGACACATGTCTCCTTTCATAGTTTGATGTTCACGCGCTTTAACTCATGCCTTCTTATCTTCCTCTCTTTAGTTTTAAATTTACTCTTGACATTAATTTTTTCCTGCGTTTGCTCTTCTACCCTTTCCACATTTATACGAAAATCAATTCGTTTTATTTTTCTCATCTGACCATTCGTACTTTAAATCTTCCAAGAGAAATATTGATACAAATGAGTGGGAGATTGGGTCTTCTCAACTTTGCCTCACTTCCATGGAAGCCACAAGCAAGGTCAGCGGCTTTAGACTCAAGAAAGAGACTGTGCTGGTAATTTTAAAATTCTTTGCCTCCGCCGTTCTGGATCTCGAGCCTTTCATTTTGATTTCCATTCGCTCTGCTTCGTCCTAGGGTTATTGTTGGCAAGATTGATCGTCGGAGCTTACGACCATGCCGCTTTTAGGCTCTTGAGGTTTAAAGGCGATTGTCAAAGGCGTTTGGGGGCCACCGTTTTCCCCCACAACATCGGACTCGGAGCGACTAGGTTTTTTAAATCCTGATTACCATTCTCTTTTACTTTCAGCAGAGCGAGATTTGCATGAACTGAACCTGGAAATTAAGGTCTGAGAACCTTTACAATCCGATAATTCAGTATTGTTTATAGTTTAAGCTCTCTAATTGTAATGGTTTAGGCTGAATTTTACTGTTTTTGTTTTTATGATGATCCTTGCCTTGTATAGGACATTCAAACGAACCTACTAACCTGATTTGGATCCACCTTGTAATCCTAACTTTGCTTCAATTAGCTTCTGATTACAGGGTCGTAGGAGTATTGAAGTGGCTTTGATTAGAATCTGTTTTGGTCTAAGATCGGTTCTTCTATTGGTGCCGTGCTGCGTGTAGATTGCTATTAATGTGATAACACTGTGGCTGTGATAACACTGTGTGTGGTTTGGTCAGAAGAATCGTAACCACAACTGAACTTGGAGTAAGGGCGACTGGAGTTCACTGGGCGTTTGCTTCCTATGAGGCTGTAAGTCACTTTTGTATACGTAATTCCCATAACGATATTGAAACATCATGACTTGTAATTATTGACTCAAACGTTTTGTTACTTTGTTCTTCCTAACGGTCTACAGAGATCCCAGATGGGAACGAAGCTATGACAGTTATGGTTAAGATGGTGGACTTGTCTGTGAGGTCAGCTCGCTTGTTTCGGGAGTAAAAGGCGTCCCACCCGAAGAACACCTAATCGGTTACCATTTTGTTGCAGGTGGGTATGTATATGGCTTCATATGTGTCTTTTAACAGCTATGATGTCATTTCTCATGGATTAGTTCACTACTTGTGATAGAAACAATGTGATCGCATGTGCAAAACACTTTGTTCGAAATGATGGAACCAAGAAGTAGACCTACCACCAGTAGAGTCAGCCGGAGAAGATAATGATGCTTTGAGGGGAAGATATATCACAAGATTTACTGCTGTTATCGTATATCATAGTTGTATGATTGTTGACCGTATCGACTTTCTCGGTAAGCTGTTTCTCATTCAATATTATTTTCTTCAACAAGCTTTTCCATTTTCATATTTACAGTTAGTAACCTTTTGTGATCCAGTTGATCATGGATATATTGAGATCATTTCCAAGAAACAATGAGATCTATCATCTATATACATATATATATATATAAATATATTGATCATGGATATATTGAAATCATTTGTAAGAAACAATGAGATATATCGTTAAACAGAACCAAGAGATAATAACACATTTTATTGGTCATTGTGGTGCTCTAGACTATAGAGGTTGATTTCTATTTGACACATTTTCTTTCCTACTTACAGCCTTCATTTTCTCCATCTCAAGTCTTAGAGCTGGATCCATCCGTCTTCGTCCAATTTTTAATATCTTTTGATTTTTGATCCTTAACGTATAAGTTTTTGTTTACAATCTTTATCTTCTCACGCTAGGTGCTTCTTCCACCAGCCGATTTGCGGTGTCCACTACTGCCACTCCTTGGTATGTATATGGTTTTCCCAATATTCATTAGGCTGAAAAAGTAAAGTTATGTACCTGGCAAGGCATCTGAGGTGATTGGAGAAACTATCAACGTTTTCTTGACTTGGATTCTTTGCTTTAGATTTGGAAATTAGATGTTTGGATGTTCTGACCTGGTTTACGATTGTGTGATACATATTTATCTTACTGTAAATCATATAAAACCTTAGCTGCCACTGTTGATGCTATTTGTGAGGAGATAGCAAATGATCGTTTCCAATCTTATTTCATAAATTACGTATGTTGCACCACATGAACTGACGCCATAACTTCTCGTCACTTTTTATTATGTGCTTCAATTACGTCATGATGTGCAGCTTGAAAATGTAAGAGTAGTAATACGGGAACTAACACAGAATACAACACAGGGATTTTCTCTTCAAAGATATTTCATTAGTAAATCTGTTTATAACTTACAAGTATACAGAACCCGATTTAGAGCAACCTCAAGACACACCTTGATTTGCTACACTAGTCTCACTTATTTTTGAATCGATACGTGATTCAAGAATCTCTCACCCAAATCTCTTAGCACACTAGCTCACAAAAATTCTCACAGATTTTCGCTCACCCTTTGCTAAATATTCTCTCAGTTGTGTTAAAGCCCTACATAGCTCTAACACGCCTATTTATACTCAATAGGACTTGCGGCTGATCCTCGCCTAGATTCTCCTTCTGATTACACCAAATCTTCATGAGAATCTTCGCCTTCCTTATCTTCTCCTAAGATAGAGGAAACTTGATATTTTCTTCAAAGATCCTCCAAGATACTCCAAGCTTCCTATCCACGCCAACTTCTCGTCTCTTGAAGTGTCCAGCACGTCCTGCAGCTCCAGCTCAGCTTCCAGCTCACCTCCACGTGTATAGATTGCTATGCAAGTCTTCCCGTGTCAGTTCCAGAGCTAGTCGGACTGCTACACGTGCTGCTCCAGCCTTATTTGCATCTTCAATCTCCCCCTTTTTAGCATATGTGCTCCACAAGTACCTGTTCAGGAAATCAAGACCAAACAAGCAACAACCAACATACTACAAGCCACACAATTCTGGGAATGATTTCAAAAACAAAATCCGATTAACTAAAAGAGACTCCAAGAAACCAGTGGAGTGTCAAGTCTTATCATAACCGAGTTCAAAGAGATACGAAATAAAACATAAAGCACAATGTCTTAAAACACTCTCTCCTTACTCCCTCAAAATTCGAAAAACCCCAAAATAAACCCAAACAAAAAACTCCCCCAGAATTCATGCATCCACCGATTTCAATCTTCTCCCCCTGCTTGTGAGCACAGATGTTAAAAATACTCGATGAGCAAACATAATTCGAAGGTTCAGATAGGGTCTAAGTGGGTTTACCTGTGACTGCTGCGCGTAGCATGGCCGTTACTACCCCGAGTTGCTCAAGAACTGATGCCACATCTTCTAGAGCTGTCCTGATTCCCTCTGCATCAGCTGGAGCCTCAGGCACTTGAATCACTCCCAGACTCACGTTGTTGACTCCTCCAGTTGGCGTGTTCGGCTGGGCAGCGGTTGTTGGACACGGATTCGAGGTTGAGGGACGCGATGTCGATGCAACTCCAGTCCTCTTTCTTGCCTCTTTCTTTCGTTTCTCCTTAGCCTTTTCCTCAGTGACTGCAGCAGCAGCTTCCTTTTTGAGAAAGGTTTCCCCACTTCGTGGATCCTTCTTGTATTTGGTTGGGAAGATCCACATTTCACCTTCTTCGAGCTGCAGAATGAGCTGCCTCTTGATGACCTTGCTGATGAGACAAGGTAACATCAGCCATCGTCTATCCCCCTTGATAACCTTGCTCAGATCAAGCATCTGCTGGAAAATCATCCGCCCAATGTCAACATTGATTCTGTGCGCCAGCTTATATACCAACCTTGCCCGTTCCTCAGAGATGTGATGCTTATTCGTCGAAGGGACCCAATTGTAGGATGCAATGACCATCAGTGCAGCTATCCGTGGAGGAAAATTTCTCGAGGTTAACTCAGCCCATGTAGACTAATGTCCTTGTGACAGGTATTTTGATACCTCAGAGATTGGCACAAGATCTGCCTCAACCTCCTTTTTTCTTTCTGCTTCAGTCAGAGCCTCGCGGCGTAAGGTCTCATTGATGATCCCTAGAGAAATTCTGACTTTGGCTCCTCTGATTCTCACCCAGCAGGGACCGTCACCATCGCCAGACTCCGCTTCCTTTTGACCTCGTCGATCTGCTCCTGAACCGACATCTCCTCCGGTAGCTCGTTGGTCTGGGACGGCAAATCTTTTCCTTCGTCGTCCTCAAGAATCTCCTTATCGTTACCCACGGGATCAGCTGCTGTCTGAGTTTCCGATTCCGCCTCTTCGTTCTCTCGCAACTGTTTGGCTTCTTGCATCTCAGTTGCTGCTTCTGGGCTTTCTTCCTTCTCTACTTCAGGCTCATCCATGGCCTCTCGTTCCTCCTCTTGTGCCACCGATTCGACCTGGACTTTGTCGGGAAGCTGATTTTCATCTGGGGATTTGGTCGAGGAATTTCCGCCCTCATCTGCTGTAGCGAATAACTCGCTCTCGCTTTTGGCCCCCGTTCCGGCCTCTGTTCCTCCCTTGCTCTGAGTCACCGGCAGGTTCTGATCTTCTCCATTCGATTCATCGATTAAGTGAGGAGACGAAGCATCACCTGTTGCATGTGCCATTTTTGACTTTGATTTCTTTCCGATGAGCCCTCTTCGTGTTGCAGACACCATTTTATTCACCGATCTGGACCAAGAGACTTTGAATTGAATCACACAAGTTCTTTGCACCTAGGGTTTTTGAACAGTTCGATGTAGCGTCTCTTCCTCTTCCTCTCCCGCAAATATAGCAACATCGCTTCGATTTCCCTCTCCTTATTTGATTTTCCTTTTTCTTCATGGGCTGCTGTTGGGCCTGTCTACATGAGCATCATTTGTCCACGGCCCACTTCCTATTTAACCATGACAAGTCTTTTTCTAGCACAAGAACATCCATTAGTACATCACAAGGAACACGACAGTCATTGACACATTTAAACCGAAGAATTTTGTGATGGCTAACATGAATAGTAACCGTTCACCTCATCACACCTCAACTAGCTTTTGAAAACAGTTTTTGCTTATTTACCCAGATTCACAGATGACACACACACGCTGATTCAGCACATGACTCGAATGATCACTCCGCTTCTTCTTGATTCTTTGTACCTTGCCAGGTTTGATACTGAGACTAGCTTTCACACTATCTTGTCTTTATCACGCTCTTCATCAGTTTTCAACCTTTATTCAGCAAGAGAGAACCTTAGGTACTTGTCATAATGTATTTTTTATTAGATACATTGTGACTTGGCAGCTTCCTTTCTTTTTCTGCCTTGGGTTTTTCTTTGATCTTTGGACAGGTCTTCTTTTTGATGTAAGACCTATCTCTGAAGTATAGATTATCCTGTAGCTCAGTCTTATCATTGCGATTTCTCAAAGACCGACTTACATTGCTTTCAGGCTGTTTGGTTCTCTCTGTGAAACCTGTACTGATGTCAAGACATGACGACAAGATAGGTAGCTCTTTTTCTCCGACCTTTAACCCTCAAGGCTGAATCGAAACGTTATGATCATCCTGAGCCTGTACCTGTATCAGTTCTGCACATCTCACAACACTTGTTAAATTCCACAAACACCAATTGCATTTCTTAAGGTGACAAAACGATTAAAGTCCAGTGGTTTTGTGAATAAATCAGCCAGTTGAGATTCAGTGACAACATGCTCGATCACTACCTGTTTTCCTTCCACTAACTCACGGATAAAGTGGTGTCTTATGTCGATGTGCTTGGTCCTTGAGTGTTGTACTAGGTTCTTGGAAATGCTTATAGCACTCTTGTTGTCATAGTACACAAGAAGTGGACCTGAGTCCATTCCATAGTCAGCGGACATCTGCTTCATCCACAGTAGTTGGCTACAACAGCTCCCCATGGCAATGTATTCTGCTTCAGCAGTGGAGAGGGACACTGAGTTTTGCTTTTTGCTGAGCCACGAGATGCGGTTGTTTCCGAGAAAGAAACACCCACCACTAGTGCTTTTCCTGTCATCAGCACTTCCTGCCCAATCTGCATCACAATATCCCACTAGGTTCTGATTCGATCCTTTTGAGTACCAGATGCCTAACTCAACTGTGCCCTTGACGTACTTGATGATCCTCTTTACCGCCTCAAGATGCGATTGCTTAGTATTAGCTTGGTACCTAGCACAAATGCCAACACTCAGGCACAGATCTGGTCTGCTTGCCGTGAGATAGAGGAGACTCCCAATCATTCCTCTATACAAGGTTGGATCGACACTTGTTCCCTCATCATCTCGCGTGAGGCTGGTGGTTGTGCTCATTGGGGTCTTTGCTTCTTTGGCTGAATCAAGCTTGAATCTCTTCAAGAGATTTCTGGCATAGGTGCTTTGTGATATGAAAACACCTTCCTCAGATTGTGTGATCTGAAGTCCCAAAAAGTACTTGAGCTCTCCCACCATACTCATCTCAAACTCACTCGTCATGCTTGCAACAAAGGCATCAACTAGCTCTTGAGAGGTTCCTCCAAAGATTATGTCATCCACATAGATCTGAACAACCATAATCTTATCCTTCTTCTCTAGTATGAACAGGGTTTTGTCCACACTGCCTCTCATGTAACCCTCGTGAACTAGGAAGCTCGTCAGTCGTTCATACCAGGCTCTGGGTGCCTGCTTCAGTCCATACAATGCTTTCTTGAGCTTGTACACATGAGTTGGATTGCCTGCATCTTTGAACCCTTTCGGCTGCTCCACATACACCTCCTCCTGAATCAAACCATTCAGAAAAGCACTCTTGACATCCATCTGATATACCCTGAAGTTGAGTATGCATGCCATTCCCAGAAAGAGTCTGATTGACTCAAGGCGTGCCACATGTGCAAATGTCTCTTCAAAATCCACCCCTTCTACTTGAGAGTACCCCTGAGCCACTAGACGAGCTTTGTTTCGAACCACTGCTCCATTCTCATCAATTTTATTCTTGAAGATCCACTTGGTTTCCACAATGTTGCAATCCATCGGTCGTGGCACTAGTTCCCACACGTCATTTCGAACAAACTGCTCGAGTTCTTGTTCCATGGCAACAATCTAGAACTCATCCTGCAACGCTTGTCTGTGATCTTTCTGTTCAATCACTGACACAAAGCAGGAATATAGCACCATCTCAGAGAACTTCCCAACCATTTTCTTGAAATCCAGTTGAATGCCACGAGTCTTCCTCCCTTCATTCACCTCACCGATGATATCTGAGGCTGAATGATTCCGATGAACTTGCTTTGTGTTCTCCTGAGTCACGATCTGAGGCTCTTCAGTTGACACAGATGGCTGTTGCATTGCCTCTGCTGTCTGTGTTACCCGATCACCTTCGTCACCTTCAGAATCACTCCCGATCAGAGGCTTCTCCCATTCCATCTGAGCGTAGTCATCGAACACCACATTTACTGATTCAACCAGAACCTTTGTCCTCATGTTGAACACACGAAAGGCTGAGCTATGACCTGAGTAGCCCAGAAAAATTCCTTCATCACTCTTTGAATCAAACTTCCCAAGATGGTCCTTGTCATTCAAGATGTAGCACCTGCACCCAAAGATATGAAAGTAACTTACGTTAGGCGTCTTTCCTTTCCACAGTTCATAAGGAGTTTTCGATGTTCCCTTTCGCATGTACACCCGATTGATTATGTAACACGCTGTGCTGACTGCTTCTGCCCAAAAACGTTTTGGAACTTGATTCCCATAAATCATCGCACGAGCCATCTCCTGAAGTGTTCGATTCTTCCGTTCCACTACACCGTTTTGTTGTGGAGTTCTGGGTGCAGCAAACTGATGTGCTATTCCATGACTTTCACAGAACAACTTCATGAACTCGTTCTGAAACTCTCCCCCATGATCACTCCTGACTCGTTTGATTGAACTTCGTTCATTCATGAGTTGTAAGGCCCAGATTCTGAAGCTATCCGCTGTGTCAGACTTTTCTCGGAGAAACCTAACCCATGTGAATCTGGTGAAGTCGTCAACCAGCACAAACACATACTTTTTACCTCCCAAACTCTCTGTCTGAACTGGCCCCATCAGATCCATATGAACTAGATCAAGTGGTGCTTTGGATTGTACGTCAGGTACTCGTTTGTGTTGGACTTTCACCTGTTTGCCTTGGTTACATGCTCCACACACAAACTTATCTCCTCCCTAGATTTTTGGAACTCCTATAATGCTCTTCTTTGAGATGAGATCATTGAGATTCCTGATGTTCATGTGTCCGAGTCGCTGGTGCCACAACTGCAGATTATCACAGGCAGTAAAACAGCTCATAACCGACCCTGACTTGTTCCACATGTAGCAATTGTTGCCTGATCTTTCTCCAGCTAGGATAATTTGTCCATCATCATTCACTGCTCTGCATCCTTTGTTGGTGAATATCACAATTAGCCCTTCATCACACAGTTGACTTATGCTAATAAGATTCGCCTTAAGTCCCTGTACTAAGTACACATTGACTAGATCAGGCTGACCTTCGTCTTTTGTAATGCCTTTTCTTTGTATGGCACCGACACTTCCATCACCAAACGTGACTCTTCCTCCCTTAATCTTCTTAACATTTTGGAGGTAGCTTCGGTTTCCAGTCATGTGCCGTGAGCAGCCACTATCGAAGTATCAAGGCTCTGACTCGTCTTCGTCGCTCTCAACTTGGGCCATGTTGCACTTGAATCCATGCCACAGCATTGACATTGGATCATCCCTGAAAGATCTCTTAACAGTGAATTCTCTTGGCTTGAAAGAATTCTTCTTCTGTTGTCCCTTAGGTTCGAATCGCAAATCCTCTTTCCTGAGCCAGACTTGATTCGTGGGTCCATTCCAACTGAACTTCCGTTGCTTTATTAGTTTCTGAACCCTGTTCCATCTGCTGTAGCAGTATGCCTTGATATGTCCGATCTTGCCACAGTAATAGCACTCTCGTCCTTTTCGCAGTTTGGTGACAGGTCTTTGATCTTCAGGCCAGTTGTATCCTTATGAAACAAACTTGATTTCATCTGAGCTCTTCTGTTCCCTTCCACTGTACCCCAATCCATGCTTCGTATTGGCTTGACATCCGTAGCTCAGGATCTTGTCTAGTTGCTTGGTTCCTGCGAACATCTGAATCTGCTTCTTTAGCTGATCTAGTTCAGACTCCAGCTTCTCCGATATCTGCTTTTCAACCTTTAAATGCTGCCTCAGACCTTCAGCTTTGTTGGCTAACTCCAGCTTCTCCTTGATCAGATTGACACTTCCCTGGCCAAGTGCGTTTGCTGCTTCGAGATCTTTGCTGAGCTTGTCTACTAGTACAGACAGTCTCTGGTTTTCTTTATTCAATTCACTGTTTTCTTGGTTGAGACTGACCAGAACATGACGTACTTCCTTGTAGCTGCTCATGAGATCATCCTCCTTTTCTTCTTCAGGCTCTGACTCAGACTCCTGTCCCTCCTCAATTTCAGCGATCCCGATAAACGTCACGAAGTTGTTTATCTCTTCGACTGAGTCATCCTCTGAATCATCATCCGATTCTTCCTCACCCAACATGGAATTTTCCTTCCTGCAATTTTGATCATTGACACATTCCAGCTGAGTGTGTCCAAATCCTTTGCAGCCATAGCACTGAATCTCCCGTCGCTTGATAGTCGGGCAGTCATTCTTGAAATGTCCATATCCCTTGCACTCATGACACTGCACCTCACTTTTTCTGTTAGACTTGTCCCCTTCAGTTGTCTTCTTGAAGGAGGCAACCTTCTTCTGAGGTTTCCCAGTTTTCCGCAAAGCACGATCAAACCTCCGAACCAGAAGACTTATGGGATCGTCTTCCTCATCTTCAGTGACACGGTTTTCACACTTTAGGGCTAGACTTTTAGGCTTCTTCAGACTGTCTAGCTCCATCTCATGAGCTTTCAGCATGCCTACAAGTTCACTGAATGGCATGTTCTTTGTGTTACTGGACACACTGAGTGCTGATTTGTACCCCATAAACCTCGATGGCAGACACCTCAAGAATTTTTTCATCAGCTTCTTATCCTTGTATGTTTTGCCTAACACCGCTGCTTCTTGTGCCAGAGCACTCAGTTTCGAACTGAATTCAGAGATGGTTTCATCCTCCTCCATCTTTAGATTCTCAAAGCGAGAAGCAAGCATGTCCTTTCTGGAGTTTTGAACCTTTGTTGTTCCTTCGTACTGCATCTGAAGTATGTCCCATGCTTCTTTGGCAGTCTCAACACCTTGAATCAGCTCAAATGTCTTTCTTGATATGTTGGTGTGAATAGTAGTCAGCGCCCTTGAATTGTACTTCGCTCTTTTTGACTCCTCTTCAGTCCAACTTTCTTCTGGTTTTGGATGAAAGACTCCGTTGGCATCAGCTACCAGTGGTTCTTCCCATTTATCTGTTACTGCCTTCCATGCCAGTGGATCGATCCCTTTGATCATGGATCTGATCCTAGCTTTCCAAAACCTGTAGTTCCCATCATCCAGGATGATCCTGGAGTTGTTCACCATTTCCTTATAGCTCTCCATTTTCTCCGCAGGATCTCACCTGTTTGTAATACACACAGATGACTGCTCTGATACCAAATGAAAATGTAAGAGTAGTAATACGGGAACTAACACAGAACACAACACAGGGATTTTCTCTTCAAAGATATTTCACTAGTAAATCTGTTTGTAACTTACAAGTATACAGAACCCGATTTAGAGCAACCTCAAGACACAACTTGATTTGCTACACTAGTCTCACTTGTTCCTTAATCGATACGTCATTCAAGAACCTCTCACCCAAATCCCTTAGCACACTAGCTCACAAAAACTCTCACAGATTTTCGCTCACCCTTTGCTAAGTATTCTCTCAGTTGTGTTAAAGCCCTACATAGCTCTAGCACGCCTATTTATACTCAATAGGACTTGCGGCTGATCCTCGCCTAGATTCTCCTTCTGATTACACCAAATCTTCATGAGAATCTTCGCCTTCCTTATCTTCTCCTAAGATAGAGGAAACTTGATATTTTCTTCAAAGATCCTCCAAGATACTCCAAGCTTTCTATCCACGTCAGCTTCTCGTCTCTTGAAGTGTCCAGCACGTCCTGCAGCTCCAGCTCAGCTTCCAGCTCACCTCCACGTGTATAGATTGCTACGCAAGTCTTCCCGTGTCAGTTCCAGAGCTAGTCGGACTGCTACACGTGCTGCTCCAGCCTTGTTTGCATCTTCACAGCTTGAGAATACACTACTTGCTGACACCTCTGCTCCGCTTTTAAAAACTTGTCATTTTGGTTATATATAAGATATGGCTAAATACCTTAGTTGATTTTACAAACCAAAAAAAGTACTTTAATTAACTTTAAAAAAAAACGGACCAAAATTAATGATGTTATTAAAGGACAGGAGGCTTGAACACAAATATGAAATAACAGAAAACCGAGTACACATCGAAACACATGAATATTTGTTTATTTTCAATTATTAAAGAAAGCGATGATTTTAATAGAAAAACCAGAAGAACTAAAAAAAAAAAGCAGACATGATCATTAAAAAAACAAAATAAAAAAAAAGAAATTTATGAAATTCAATTAAAACAAAGGAAACTCTAATAACATCTTACTTAAATTTTTTACAAGTCCTATTGGCTCAAATAATATGTTAACAATTACAATTATTATTTCTGTTCCAAGAAACAATCTGTTATTTACGTTCTAAAATACAATCTCGAATTTCAGCTTTCAGTAATAAAAGGCTTTCAGTAATAAAAAGTTACTTTCAACAAAAAATACATAATTACATACAGAATTTAAATAATGTTCAATAAATTACAAAAACTATCCGCGCGTAGCGCAGACATTCACCTAGTACTAATAAAAGTTGAAGCTAAATGATTCTCAAGACATCCACATAGGATTAAAAGACTAATTTTATTGGTCCACATCAGCATTCAAAATTAAGGGAAATTTACAAATTTTAATATTATTGTTGAATAAGAAAATTTACAAATTCTAATATTATTTCTGAATGAATAATTCTGTATAATTTTTTTATTGGTCCAACTCAACATTGAAAATTAAAATGTTTCTAATTGAATTATTGTTTTTAAAATTATTAAAGATAAATAAATATTAAAAACTAAAATAAATAATATTAACATAAGAAAGTTTAAATTCAAATTAGATATATATACACATATTTAGAGGCTCTTACAGTAGCATCCAAATTTTTGTCACATAACTATAATAATTTTTAAGTTTTTTTCTATATGTTCAACCATTTCAAATATAAAAAAAAAGAATAAAAAAATAGAGTCAGATTTTATTTAAGAATGAGTCATTAAAAAGAGAGTGTAAAATCTCCAAATCTTTACCACCGAATTTGAAAAGAATGATAAATTTCAAATAATCCGAGAAACATGTCAAGTGATTGATATGCGACACTTTTGAAAAACAAGGCACTGAAAATAGAAAAAAAGTTCTTTCATTAAGACGAAAGAGACGGAGGTACACAAAGAAGATTTTTGAAATAACATGACATCTGATGACGTTTTAACAACCCAACTGAACCACAAAGATAATAATTAGCTGACTAAGCAGCATTAGAATACATTCGGTAAGCCTCAAAACAAGGAGGAAAGACCAAAATCATTTGCCGCAACGGGTCTCGTGTGGGATCTTCCACCTTTGATTTATAAATGTATTACTAATAAAAGTTAAAGCTATATGCCGCTAAAAATGCCCACATATGATTTAAAAGTTTAATTTTATTTATCAACATCAATTTTTTAAATTAAAAAATTTCCAAATTTTAAAGTTATATCATTAACAAAAAAATTATATTTATAATAAAAAAAATAAAAGTTGAAGCTATATGCCTTTAGAATATCCACATTAGATTTAAAAGATCAATTTTATTAATACACATTAATAACTAAAATTAAAAAGAGTCTAAATTATAAAATTACATTTTAATACAAAACAATATAGAAAAATTGTTAATTAAAATTATTTTATTATTAATAACAGTTAACATTATTATCAAGGCATCCTTATCAGTATTTAAAAATTCAATTTTATTTATATATATCAAAATTGTAAATTAAAAAACTTTATAATTCTAATATTATGGTTAGGAAAATAAATTAAAAATAAAAAAATCTCTAGTCACAGAAAAAACAACATGATATTAAAATTTCTTCTAACTTACAAATTTATTTTTTTTATCTATTAAAAATACATGCCTACTTGTACCAGCTTAGGTTACTTGATTATAAGGTTTTTCACCAAGAATTTCAAATAATAATAATTATTTAAATTTTTTAATATATGCAAAACATATTTCCACATAATCTCATGTAATATATTATGCAAAAATGATCAAAAAATTATATTTTGTATATTCGACTTGGAATTGCAATAGATTAATGTAAAAGTTCTTAGTTTTGAGTTATTCAATTATTTCTTCATTTTTCTAAATTTGTATGTATTAAAATGTACCAGTTTTGCCTACTTAACTATAATTAGAAAAAGTGAGAATGAATATGATGAAACTGAATATAATCATAAAAATTATTAAATTAAATAAATATGATATATTCAATGAAAAACAGATATAACAATAATAATAATGAACATAATGAAAAAAAAATTCATTCTTATTAGAAGAGATTACGTATAATCATTGAAAAATTATTTAGAAGCTTACACAACCAATTGACATAAATATATTTAATTCATAACGTTTGTGTAATTTTATTCATTTCATATTAATTCAAACATTGTTTTGATTTCAATTTTAAAGTTTGTTATTAGTCTCAAAACAAACATTTTATTTATTAGTTTGTTTTTTAAATTAATATATCAAAATAAAAATTTGTATTGGTTAAAAAAGAGAAGAAAAAAGATTAAATTTTAAATTTAATTGTTTTTAATTGTTTAAAAAAACACATCTATAATTGGAATAAAAGTGAAAAATGATTAAAAATATTATCTTCTTGATTTATGAAAGTCAATGTATAATATTTTATCATCATGTCAATAATATGTTTAAAATGTAGCATTTGATTAATTTGTAAAAAAAATATTTGGTTTGGATATATTAACTTAAAAGTGTTTGACAAAATAATACGTTTTTGAAATATGACATATTGTATATAGATTTAAAACAAAACCGTTAAAACTTCACAATTTACATAAACATTATTAGATTAACACCATAATATTTTTAATATATTGTTAAAATACTAATATATAAAATTTATATCTTAATAAATATAATTGATTGCATATAAATTTTATCAACAAATTAGTATATATACTAATAAAAGTTAAAGCTAAATGCTTCTTAAGGCGTCCACATAGGATTTAAAAGAGCAATTTAATTAGTCCACATCAACATTCAAAAATAAGGAAATTTTCCAAATTGTAATATTATTGTTGAAAAAAAAGAAATTAAGAAGCTGTCCATATAAGATATAAAAAATTAATTTTATTGGTCCACATCAACATTCAAAATTAAAGAAAATTTACAAATTGTAATATTATTTCTGAAAAAGGAAATTAAAAAAGTTTATTTGTCTAATAAAGTTTTTTTATTGGTCCACCTCAATATTGAAAATTGAAAAATGTTTGTATAAATTTTTTATTAGTCCACCTCAACATTGAAAATTGAAAAATTTCTAAATTCTATTTTAAAATTATGAAAAGCAAAAAAATTATATATAAAATTGATATTAATAATAAAAAAACTAAAATAAATAATATTAAAATAAGAAGTTTTAATTTAAATTAAAGAGAAAATTGCTGAATGGAATATTTTTAAGTTTTAAATTTGAGGAATATGATGTTTTGAAAACCATAGAAGGAAATGGTTGTTTTTACAGTTTGTCTTCCCACAAGGGCCCTTAGGCAAATTTTATTTTCGGAATTGCCATTATCGAAGTAAAATAACTAAAAATTCCTGATTAAATCCGATTTCGTAAACCGATTACACAAAATTATCAACCGAAGTCCAATATCATAAACCAAAGTAAAACCAAATGTATAATTTATCGACACCCCAACATTTAAAATAAAAATTTAATTTGGGATCCACATCTGGACGTCGTCTATCTAGCATCTCCGGCAATCCATCTCCGATTAGCCATCCGATTTACCGTTGTAATGGCGCGGAAAGTAAAAAAATCGTTAAGGCGCAACAACACCGTGCCTCCGGTGTCGAGGCGAGTGCTCCGGAGTAACTCGAAGACAGCTCTGACGGACCACTCGACCATGCCGCCCGTGCCACCGCGACGGAGTGACCGGGTTGAACATCCCATTCACTCGAGTCGTCTGAATCCACGCCGGCGGTGTAGAGCCAAAGTACAATTCGCTCCTCTTCTTCTAGAATGGCCTGCTCAGAATTCTAAAAGTAAGTTACATTTATGAACTTCGACCTTGTCTGAACTGTACTGGCGGTTTTGTAATTAAAATTAAGATTGAAACGGGGCGCTGATTGGCTTGATTTATGTATTAGCGGTTATGAACTGTAGTACTTATGTCTATATATTGATTTCAAACGGTTGGATTACTCTTATATCATCTAGAAACAGTTACAGAAGTTTTTATAGGAGAGCATACCAATAGGGTAGTTTTCCCAGATATCTGTTCTCTCTTTCGAACTCCTTCGAACTCCTTTCCCTCAAACATTTCCCCTGGGTTTGCATTTCACTGTTTATCCAGAATACTATATCTTTTCGTGCATTTCGGAATTGTTGTTTTAGGAATGGAAGACGGAGAACCTTCAAATACAGGCATGGAAGATGGAGAAGCTTCAAATAACCTTTCGGAAAAACTACCAAAAAGAGTCCTTGGCGATGGTTGCTATCCCGTTGGTGCTCGGTTGAACATATATTCAAAGGCCAATGTAATTGGCCTCCTTGTCGAGGCGTTAAAGGGTACTGAAGATCTTGAGAAGCTACTTCATTCCCAGTTTGGGAAGTTATTCCATCTACCTGTTGCAAGATGTTGCAACAGCGCCAAACTTGTCCATGCCCTTCTATCACGACAACTTGTGACCACGAAGAAACACGAGATTTGGTTCCTCTTTGGTGGACAGCCTCTGAGATATTCGATACGGGAGTTCAAGGAAATCACTGGATTGAATTGCAATCCCGAACCTGATAGCACAGAAGAAGAAGAAGAAGAAGTCGGAAAAACAGGAATCTGGAAAGACCTGTTCGGAAGAGCGACTGCTATGAACGTGTATGATGTGCTTGAAATGCTAAAGGACCCGGAACTACCCTGATGGAAATGGCTTCCATTGGCCCTAATCGTTCTTGTCGACAGTGTTCTGTTTTGCAATAGCAAAAATCTGGCCCTCACCGAGAAATACGTTGAGATGTTGACTGACTTGGATAGGTTCATGTTGTATCCATGGGGGAGGGTATCCTTTAACAAAACAGTATCTCGTTTTCAAGCTCCAAAGGCAATCACGGATTCCGAGAAAAGGGAGAATCCTGTAACACGATTGCGACGTCAACTTAAACAGAAAACCAGTGCATGCTATGGATTCCCTCTATCACTACAACTCATGGCCCTCCAATCTATACCAATGTTGGTTTCCAAAATTCCTCAACCTGATAACTTGAAGACATTCCTTGAAGATCCCGAAGGCTGTCAAAACGTTATCACACTGTTGCATCTTGGGGACATACATGCCATGGAATCCGACCCTCTGGTAAGTTATTTGTAGTATTATATTTAGTACTATGTGTAGTCTTATTTTGTAGTACTTCTCTTAAAAGATAAGTGCTCTGTCATTTTGGTTGGTTATTTTGCAATTGTATTTTTTTTGTCTTAGTTGTCTGTGAAACAGATGGTAGTGGATGATGGTGAGAATGACCAACAGAATGAATTGCGTTGGGGAGATGAGGTAGAGGATGCCGAAGTTGCATTCATGCAGGAACTCATGGCCGAGGGGTACAAATTCACACCTTCGGATTTTGCAGTGGCACCGGCACCTATCGTGGATATCAGTGATGCAGAGGACGAGGTTACCAATGAACAGGAACCTGAGCCATCCACCCGACCGAAAAAGAAACAGAAAACTCATCAAACTGAAAAAACGTAAGATGCAGAGGAAGAGAGGCAGGGGCAAGAACTCTTCTAATCTATCGGAAGATGAAACACCTGAAAGTGGACAGATTAAAGATCCTAAAAGATGGATAGTACTTCAGAATACTTTGCTCCTTCGTGAGATTAAGACCGAGTTGGACAAGAGATTGGGCGTATACCAAGAGGACGAAGAAGATGACGATGTACACTAGTCAAAAGAAGATGGGGAACAGGATGACGAATGACAGAATACAAAAAAAGATGGTGAAAAACCGGATGAAGATGAAGACGAAGCCGAAGATGGAGGGGCACAGTCTAGCGTACGCCATAATGATGGTGTACACCCCGAAGATGGTGTACACCAGAAAGAAAGAGATGATGAAGAAGGGACCTCTACTTACTACGGTGGGGACCATTATTCTCCCAGGGACCATGCGTACTTGAAGACTCCAGAAGCTCCGACGATGACCCCTGAACCGGGACAAGCCAATTCAGGAACAACTCGTCCACCTCCTTACTTCGTCATTCCGGATGAAGATCCACCTTCTGGCCTCAACGAGGTGAGCTAATTGTTTAGTCAGCAGCTGACTCTATTAAGTTTCATAACGTGGGTGCAATGTGCTATGTTTTTTATGACTTATTCAGGTGGATGGTGGTAGAACAAATTTGGTGTCAGGCCCCTTAGTAGTCTACAAACCTCAGACTCCTCACCCATTGAGCTACGCATATAAGAAACATGAAGCGCAGACAGATGCGAAAGATGCACAGGTCATACATTAAAGTTGTTCATATGATATGGATGTGTATACAGTAGTGTTTAGGTATACGCTAGGTATACGATTGATATGTTATACGCTTTATTGTTACGGTGGTTTGTAGGGTGTGGCTAATGAGGACGACTCAAATGCGGGGAAAGATTACCATACTGCGCCTGAGGATGCAAGTGATGCTTCGCAGAATACCCCTTGTACTCCAAAACCCCCACAAGAAGTTGAGGGATCATCTGGTGTAAGGAGAACAAGTGGAGGAACAGGAAGAGGAGGAAGAGGTAGAGGAACAGGAAGAGGAGGAAGAGGTAGAGCAAAACGCGCACGTGTACGGTCAGACAAGATTCGAGATATTTACACCGCTGATTCAAAGGTGAAAGCTCTATTTGTATCCAGATCGAAAGCTGCGTACAAACCACTCGAAACAGTTGACCAAGACCACTTCAAGGCATTTCAAGAGTTATTATCGCGTGAAAGAAACATGTAAGTTATATCGTATTGAAAGCAATTTATCCTTAAACTTTCATTCTAATCAATTACCAATTGCTCTCATTACAGCGACTTTTGCATTGTCACTGGTCATACTGTGAACAATCAATTCTTCCTACAAATTGCGAAGCCTACTGAGTGGGTTAACACGATGGTAAGTATATAGTTAGTACTTACTCAATCTTTGATTATCTGTATTATATGTTATTTATGTTTTGTTTATCGTCAGCACATGCAAGTCATAATGGCCATGCTTTGGAGACGTAGAGGTGAAATATACTTGAAAGACAGGGTAGCATTTGTAGACACCTTGTTCATATCCATCATCGGCAACTACTACAACGATTTCATATCGCGAGACAAAAATCAGTATGACTGGGGGAAAACCATTCAGGGCATTGTATTGGGAAAACCAGCAAAGTGGGCTAATCAGCGGCAGTGGCAAATGTTTCTACGGTTTGTGGACGTTGTATACGTCCCGATGAACTGGGGGTCTGAGCATTGGGTGGGCCTTGTAATTGACTTTAAAACGGGCAACATAAAGATTTTGGACTCATTCATCAGTCATAATGATGAAACGGCTGTGGAGTAGTATATGGCGCTCGTGTGTCAAAGTATGCCATTTATATTGAAGCGTTATTTGGATAGCAAATTAACGGAAGGCCTACGCACCACCCCTTACACATGGAGTCGTTTGGAGGGCATATATCAGAACAAAAGATCCGGTGACTGTGGTCCATGTGCGGCCAAATTCTTAGAGATGCATGCTGCAGACCTTGGAGTGGAGGATATGGGTTTGATAACGAACGATGATGTTGACAGGTTAAGGGAGAAATACGCCATGGACTCATACGAAGAGTTTGTCGGGAATCCGGCTATTGCCAACGCTTAGGACGAATGTTGAAGTTTAATGTTGAACTTGACAATTTATGCAATGGTTATTTGTTGGATTAAGTGTTTGATAATGTTTAGGATGTGGGTTTATTTGATAATTTATATGCTTATAATTTAGTTTACTTTACTATCTATTAATTGGTGTGTCAATTATTTAGTTTGCTTATAATTTAGTTTACTTTAATAATTGCGTATCCGTACACCTAATAGCGTTTAGTTGTACACCAATATGCATCAAATGGGAGTACATCAAGACAAATTTGTTTATACTTCACTTAATTTTAGTATTTATTAATTGTTGTGTGAATACCTTGTTTCCGGATAAATATGGACCTGTACACCAATATCCATTTAGGTGTACATCAACTGGGTGTACAACAAGGAAATTTATGGTTTATCCACTAATTTTACAAAATCATTTACAATCTTAACGGTAACCGCATATAATGTATACGGTCATTTAGTGGGCTTTTTTAATTATTATATATATGCAACATAAAGAACCGTTCCGCTTCACAAATCTTAAACCGCAATTATTCCATCTCCATAAACAACCGTTTTCATCACAATTGAACCTCACAAATTAACTATGGCACCAAAGAGAGGGCGATGTGATGCGGATATCCATGATTGTCAATCCCCTCTGATGGCGCTTCCCGACCAACTATTGGAGAAGGTTCTCGCATACAGTTGCAACTCCGTCCAACAAATTTTCACACTGAAGCAAGTTTGCAAACGGTTCCAGGCCTGCACTTTAACCAAAAATTTTCTAGCATTGGTTGATCCTGTGGAATTGGAGATGCCTATTCCCGAAGATTTTGATATGCCTTTTATCGCGTATTGGGAATTTCCCAACTTGTTAAGGACGATATATGACGCACACAATCCTGGTTTGCTGTTCATGAAGGGGATGCAAGACTTCTGCCGTGGAGACAAATGTGGCATAAAACTCATCAAGGAATCTGCAGATATGGGATACGAAACAGGTAATTACATGTATGGCATGTACATAAAAGCAGTGGTCGAAGACCCCGTGGGTTTAGAGTATCTTTCAAAACTAGGCAGGGGGGCAATGAGGAGAATAATTCGGAAAATTATTGATGGAGGTGAGCGTGGTTATGTTAATTTGCCAGAAGAGTTCTCGAGGAGGAGATTTGAGACTAATGCTCAGTTTGCCACTCTTTGGTCTTGTCGCTGTGGTGTTGCCAATGCTCAACTTGATTGGCATGACGAATTGTTAAAGGGGCCAAGCATGTGCACGTCGTGTTTCTGGGCACAGGAAACGCAAAAGTTCTTCGTATTTGTTTGGTATGCAGCGCGTTCTGGGCCGTCAATGGAAGAATGGTGACTGATTGGTGCAAGTCAACCAGTTTCGGTGTGTACACCTGCGTTGTGTACACCTTGGTGTGTACACCTAAGTTGATTACACCTCGGCGTTGCTGTTATTTCGTACTTTATGATTTAATATTTTATTTAGGCCTACTACGTATGTATGTATGTAGGTGTATTTTGTTTTGCTTTCTATCTATGTATACTTTAATTGTGCTGACTTTATTTAATTTCGGTGGGTGGTAGTGCAAGTTTTTCGAGAACCGTTCTCTTATATCTTTAAAGTCTCAGTTTACCTCTCTGTGTACGCCTAATAACTACAAAAAAAGAACACCTCAATCTGGACTCAATATGTACACCTAAATTTGTACACCTGAATGTTACAGTTATCACATATTATATAATTGAGTAAACAAACGACATTATCTGTTTTCACAGAATTTTCGGAGAACATGGATATACAAACGACAGTATTTATTAAAAGCCTCACCTTACCTATTTCTGTACGCATATTTTCAAAAAAATTCATGATTTCGTCTATGTGGACTCAATCTGTACTCTATATCTCGGTTAACGTGATGTTGAGAAAACGTCTGTAATGATGACAAGAAATTTATTTGCCAACAATTATAAAAGGGCTGTCTTGTTAATGAAATTTTGATAATATCATAAATACTAATAGTATTGTCTCAGAAATCATAAATGTATTGTGGTATATCAAAAATTACATTAAAGCATTCATCAAAAAAGTTAATTGGTGAAATTTGCTTTGATTTGGTAATTCTTTGTATTTATTGTGGTAATTTAATTTTGCCGGTAAACGAAAAGACACATTTTCGTCTCTTTTCAACGTCTCTCTTCAAAAACAGCTATTCGGCTCTATTAAAACCGCACTACCTCTTTAAATTCAATCCCTTCACCGTAACTGCCTACTTAGAACCATCATAACTTCCTCTTTCGTACCATTTTCAATCCTTTCTCCTCTTCTTCATTCCATTTTCTTATCTTTTCTCTTTTCACCAAAATAAACGATGGTTCCAAGGAGAAACAGAGGTGGTGATGCTGATTTTTCCTATCTTCTCTCACTCCCTGATGAATTGCTGGAACAAATTCTGGCCGCTACAAACCCAACTATAAGGGAAATAGCCCGCCTCCGTGCTGTTTGTTCTCGTTTCAACCGTATCGGCACAAGCAGGGGTTTCTATCGAGCCATTGATCCCGCCGAAATCGTGCATGAACGGTTCCACATTACCCAACGATGATGAGGAGATTCCATGACGCGGGTAATCCAGGGGTTATTTTCGAGAGGGGGATGCAAGCCTACTTTTTCTTCCACGATGGTGAAGGCGTGGAATTGATAAGGGCTGCTGCGGAGGGAGGCTACAACTGAGCCCTTTTTGTGTACGGGATGTGGCTCACAGCTGTGCCGGAAGACTTCGTCCGTGCAGAGGAGTATTTGGGCAGGCTCACGGTGCAAAACCGGAGGAGGCTGAGCCGGTTGTTGCTGGCCGACATTCCACACGGATGGAATTTTGATTTGCCAGTGGATTTCACTGAGAAAGCGGCTGCCTTTCATCTGAGATTCCTTGCGCTGTACACCTGTCACTGCGGGGTTATCAATTACTGGCTCCAGTGGTTTGCAGAAGACTTTAAGCAGCCAAAGTGCACAACCTGTTTCTGGGCCCAAGAGACCCAAAGGTTCTTCCGCTTCATTAGGAACGTCGTTCCAAGCTGGCCGTTCATGCTCGATTGGTGAAAGCCGTAATCTTAGTATTTGCTTGCATTCGTGTCTCTTTAATTATTTATGTTGTCTTAGTGTTCCAAACTACAACTGATGTTTTTCAAATTGCTTGTCTGCTTTCGGTTTTTAGTTGCAATTCTTACTTTTGTATAAACATAATCTACGGAGAATTAGTAGTTGTTTTTATGATATTTATGGTACTTATGTTCGTAAATGTAGTAATTAATCATCAAGCTCTTAAAATGTTTTGTATCAAAATGAAAGTGCGAGGATATCATTTCGTCTAGGGCAATAATTAATTATGTACACCTCTTCACTGTAATTATCTATGTACACCTATTACCGTATACCTATAGACGTACACCTACTTACGTAATTAATCATCAAGCTCTTAAAATGTTTTGTATCAAAATGAAAGTGCCAGGATATCATTTCGTCTAGGGCAGTAATTAATTATGTACACCTCTTCACTGTAATTATTTATGTACACCTATTACCGTATAACTATAGACATACACCTACTTACGTATATCTAAAACCGTAAACCTAAAGACGTACACCTACTTACGTAAACGGGATCAGATATAGATTGGAAACGTAAAACAGGTTGAAAATATAATAACATTACACATTTTTAAAGAACGATGAATACTGGAACGTAAACGTACACTAAAATTGGTATACGTGATTGTAAACCCTTTTTTGACATAAGGCTGTTAAACATAAGGCTGTTATAAAAACTTCATATTTATTTTACAAACAAGCGACAAGCGAGCATAGCACATCGATACTAAAGCATTTTTGCTATGCGTTCTGCCGAACATCTAAGATAACAATTTTCACATGTAACAATATAATGCACATTCTCGTGATACACTTCGCACAACGCAGAGTTGTCTTCATGAATGAGACTAGGGTACCTGAACTTTTCCTTGTATGTATGTTTATTACGTGGGCAAAATGACCAGAATAAATATATTATATCTTCGGCGACTTCAAGAATTTCACGAGAATCATGAGGATAGTGGTACCTGAAAACCATCTTTAGAAGTTTTTTCCCTCTGTTAGGGCGACCCACGCACATTTGTAAAATCGCACAGCTGTAATTCGCATAGACGTCTGATGGAACGAGCTTATTTAGCATCCTGATGGCAGTGTAGATCTTCTCCTCTGTTGACACGAACCTTATAGCTTCGACCAATATGGCCCGTGGATTTCTCGACGCTAAGCAGCGCAGGAATAAAGGCCGATATACTCCACCAGGGTATATCCGAGATGGTGTGTCATGCAATGTCCATAGGTATGCCGATCTGAGTACTTCCACGCTATACGCAATGTCTCTACCACGGGTCCCGGCCAGAATAATCGGTCCAAGGTAGATGCAGTCAGACTCAGCAACTTTCTTGACAATGATTTCAAAAATATGATCTGGTAAATCTGGTAAATCTGGCATTTTTGGGAAGGTTATAGGGTTTGTGTAAGGTTTGTGTAGGGGAACTTTCTGCGCAATTTTATGAAACTATATATTGAATTCCATGGGTAGTTGTTGTTGAGAAATAGTTAATGGTAAGACAATTAGTGTGTAGTTGAACAGAAGTAATATTACAATAAGTTTGTGAAGTGATGTTTACCAACTACATAAATTAAAGAAGTAGTTACATTGTTACAACTAGTTAAGTTGTTAGTAGCTACTTGTTACAATAAGTTTGTCAAGTGATTTTCACTTAGTTTCCACCTTAAATTTATTACAAAATTAAACAAGCACTTGCAATTAAAATAATTAAACTAAAGGAAATATCTTATGCGTAGAGCCGTGCATTGTAGAAGGCAATATTCGCAGTATGGTGTATTTGAGCCATCATAATGGTCATCTACACACTCCGATATAGGTTCTTCTTGTAGGGTGATGGGGAAGGACCAAAGGCTAC